GGATTAGCCAGGATGGTCTCGATCTCTTGACCTCGTGATCCGCCCGCCTCGGCCTCCCAAAGTGCTGGGATTACAGGTGTGAGCCACTGCGCCCGGCCTTAATTTTTGTATTTTTAGTAGAGACGGGGTTTCACCATATTGGCCAGGCTGGTCTCGAACTCCTGATCTCGTGATCTGCCCACCTCGGCCTCAAAATACAAAAATTAGCTGGGTGTGGTGGCACACGTCGGTAATCCCAGCCGCTCAGGAGGCTGAGGCAGGAGAACTGCCTGAACCTGGGAGGCGGAGGTTGCAGTGAGCCGGGATTGAGCCACTGCCCTCCATCCAGCCTGAGTGACAGAGCGAGACTCCGTCTCAAAAATAAATAAATACATTTCATATTCGCTCACTGGATAAACCTGAACAGGTCATTCATGTTAGCAATTTGACTTTATTGCAAATTCTGTAACTTAAAAGGTCTTCATTTGAGAGAGATGAGATTACACTGAGACAGCCTTTGGTTGTCGCCTTTCAAGACAACCTTTCCTCTGGAAACCAATCATGGGAGGAAGGTTGACTCCATCACAGCACATCTGTGGGGTGGAGGGTCCAGCAGCCTCTCCAGATGACATTGGGTATGGAAGGGCCTGCAGGCTAGCAGTGCGGTTTCCTAGAGTAGGCTATGGGTGTGAGGACACCCGAGTTGTCAGTAAAAGGGACAGCCTGCTGGTCAGGCCCATGGGTTCAGGAGCAGTCTTACTGACGCCAGGAGGCTGCTCAAATATTATTTTCTGCGGATATATGAGGTTTAAAAAGGTTGTTAGGGGCCGGGCGCGGTGGCTCAAGCCTGTAATCCCAGCACTTTGGGAGGCCGAGACGGGTGGATCACGAGGTCAGGAGATCGAGACCATCCTGGCTAACACGGTGAAACCCCGTCTCTACTAAGAAATACAAAAAACTAGCCAGGCGAGGTGGCGGGCGCCTGTAGTCCCAGCTACTCGGGAGGCTGAGGCCGGAGAATGGCGTGAACCCGGGAGGCGGAGCTTACAGTGAGCTGAGATCCGGCCACTGCACTCTAGCCTGGGCTACAGAGCGAGACTCCGTCTCAAAAAAAAAAAAAAAAAAAAAAAAAAAAGGTTGTTAGGTACTGGTGACTACCACAGTAGTTTTTTGTTTGTTTGTTTGTTTGTTTTGCAAAAAGACAAAAAAAGCACAGGACTACACATTTATTCACACCCATATACACACAAGACTCAAATGATACAGACCAAAATATTAACAGAGGTTTTTCTGTTGGGCTTAGGTGATTTCTATACTATCTTTTAAGACTTCCCTCTCAATTGTAATTTCTTAAGTTTCTAGAATAAACATGTATCCCGTTCATAACAGAGTTAAACATTTAGTGACAAACA